GAATTAGCAATACTGTTCTCATAAGGTATAAAAGACTGAGGCCCAGTACAGGTTTGTTCATCCAGAAACCAACTCCAGGGAGAAAGAGGATCTGCAATCTGGGTTTTTTTGTAAATTATAGTGGGTACAAGTTCCCAGAAAAACTACAGTGAACATTGGTATGCTTGGGACAGCTGATATACCTAACCCTGCTGCCAGCATCCAGCTTAACTGTGTCAGCTGAGAGTAGGAGGGTGCAGTCCTGCAGCAGTCCCAGCTAGCTCAGAGCTCTGCCCATCCAGGCCAGGCACTCAACCTCATCCCCTCCCTTACACCAGCACAGTGGCATGGTTTACCCCATGTATTTACCAGGGAAAAAGTAAATCCATGGTTTTCTGCTGATTTATCTGCTGCACTGAGGATTTGGACACCCATTCCTCGTGTGGGAGCATGTGGAAAAAGGTCAACACAATCCTTAAGCCACCAGGGAGCTGCAGGGCATTTGCAGACCGCAGATGCATTCAGAGTGTGTCTTGCAGTCCAGAGGTCCGAACCAGCAGTGGCAAACCCAAGGGAGAGGAGAGGAACGTGTCCTTAGATTGGGGTGAGCCACAGCAACTCCTGCCCAGCTACAGTGACTCCATCTGGCAGCTGAAGCAGGGGAAAAGGTAGTGCAATGGATGCTCCCTCTAGCCTGCTGACGTCCAGTGCACAGCCTGATTTGGTGGGAAGTTCTGATCATGTCCAAATCAATGCTACCTTGGCCCTGTCCCCTCTGCTGCTATGGGTGTCAGCAGGCAGAAGGACTCATCCCTGTACTCACAGGGCTCTTGCAGCCGATGGTGTCACTGGAAAATTTTTGAGTCATCAAAGAAATAATGAGCATTACTCACTGCCTGCCACGTGGGAGTATTTACCCGCAGTAATAAAGAGACGAGGGAGGCAGCCGAAGGTGTGGTCTGGATCCAGAAAGTCTGGCAAAACTGCCAGGAAGTGGTGATGGCTGGTCCCTGCCCTTATTACGCAGGGAAACCTCCTCAGATGAGCAGTTTTGGCTCCCCTGTATAACTAAAGCAAAACCTCTGGTCACCTGCATCTCTGATTTTTTTATTGCGTGCAAAGCAGAAGAACAAATTGGTCCTTCCACCTCTTCCTCATGGGGAGACCTCAGTGTGAACAGGGAGGCAGAAGAGAGACTATCTTCATCTCTGTAAGAACCATCTGGAGGCAAGGAGGGAGCTAAGGTTGAAAACGAGTGTGACACTTGTCCTCTTCTTTTTGACTTGCCTCCTTGTGCAATGGCAGGATAGACTGTGGGCTCTGGGCTTGAGCCAAATAAGCAAGGCAGCATTCTGTGCTTGGGGTACTGTGGTGTTTGTGGGTTCTCAGCATTTGCTGGGAAGCAAAAGCCCTGGAAGGAGCAGCAGAACAGGAGTTAAAATGTCCGTGTGAGTGCAGCAAGCCGGGAGGCCGTGAATAGCCGTGAAATCCAGGAAAGGCAACAGATAACAGCAGGGAACTGGCAGGTGCTGGGTGGAGTGGTGACGACACCAAGGCCACACTGCAGATAAGGCCACCAGGTAGAGTGGAGCAAGAGCGATGTGATGCAATCCGGCTCGGCCTTCTGCCTTCTGTGCCCAGCCAGATGGAAAGCCTGCAAATAGAGCTGTGGTGACCCAGGAGGAAAAGGCCTGATAAGGGCTCACGATGCAATGAGCGATCCAGGGCTGGTGGTGTGGACACGGGTGGGTGGGTGCCAGTGAGTGTGTGGGAACAAGTGCAAAGGCAGGGGCAACACCACGAGGGAACAAGCATGAGATGGGGTCTGGACGTAGAAGTGTCCTTCCCCATTCCCGCCAACTCCAGCAGAGTTTCTCTGCCTTGCTGGTGGCAAGATAAGTCTCCAGCTCCGCAGGTGAGCCTGGGACTGTGTGTCTTGTGGGACTGTGGATGGTGAGAGTGTGGGGAGGAGGTGTCAGAGCCAGAACACTTGACCCTGTCCCAGGAGAAGCCAGAGGGGAGTTCAAGAGCATCCCCAGATGCAGAGGACAGGGAGCAACTCCCCCATGTGCTTCTGTACTGCTGGGAGCCCAGGACTCACTGGGGACAGCAGAAGGATGCCCCTCTTCATGATACCTGCAACAGAGGAGGAAAGCCCAGACTCAAATGTGTGACTGTCTCAGATGTAGCTGGAGTTGCGTGGCCAATGTGAGGGCAAGCAGCCACTAGAAAATGTCCTGTCCCACTCAAGGAAGAATTTCCCCACCTCTTCTTTGAGGGGGACAGTAGGTGGGACTTTTGTCAGGGGCTGCAAGCCTGTGCTTGAGAGAAAAGCAGAAAAAGATAAAACCAGTTTGCAAGAAGTGATTTCCCCTTTGTCTTCTCTTAGCGTGTGATTTTAATTTGCTCTGTGAAGGCAGCGGCATTTAAGTACCACCGAGGAACCAGGTTGAGGAAGATCAAGTGTTGTATCAGCCAACAGCTGTTCCACAGCACTGCATAACCTACTGCCTCTGGCACAGGGGGTAGGCAGACGCTTCCTGCAGCCCTCCATCCAATGAGAGCAATCTGGAGCACACATGTCCCAGCTGCTCAGCCCCAGCTCATTGCTCCTGCACTGCCACTGGCATGACCCAAAGAGCCAGGCCATGCTCAGGACCAGTGGCACAGCATGGTTCTCTGCAGTGGTGTCGCCAGAGACATTACAATCAGCATTTGGGTGTGTTTTGATAGTAAAAACGTCGAAGACCATAAAGGCCCATGATAACCCTCATACAGGGCTGTGCTGAGTGTTGGTGTGGGAGCAGCTTGCAGGAGGTGGCCCCATGTTGTCCATGTAGTTGAGTGTTGACTTGGACCAGATTGGCAAGGTGGGCGCCTAAGGAAATATATCTACATGTGCCAGAGAGTGAGAGCTGCTGTGTCCCCAGGACCCAGCGTGCTGGTGGCAGGGCCCTTTAGGGCTCACCCACCAAATCTTGTGCACAGCAGGGCTTGGTCATGGCATCCATGATTTGTTCATGGCCCACCAAGGATGGAGATGTCCCACCTCCCTGCTGGCCTGGGTTGCTTGTCCTCTGGGGTAAGGTTTCTTTTCCTAACTCCTGACCTGAACATCTCAGGGCTGCAGTTTGTGTCTGTTCCTTTTTATTCTGTCATCTGGCACCACCAAGAAGAGGTAGTGCCCTTCCAGCAACTGTAGGCTGCTATTAGATCCCCACCTTGGCCTCCCCTGTACTAGATTAAACAAGACCACAGACCCCTATGTGCCTCAGGAGCAACGGCTAATGAAGTTAAATATTTACTTTAGTTGAGGGATTTCCAAAGCGGAATAATAATAAAAGCCAAAGGTTATTGAATTGTGTAAGCTCTGTGGAGAGAGAATATAAAACATGTGCACAGCTGCCTCGGCAGAGCAGAGGAATGGTTCTGCAAGGGGAACCCTGAATCAGTCACCTTCCCTCTTCCTAAAACCTGGTCACAGCCCTCCTGCATTGAGTGGAAGGACTTCTCAAGGACAAGGATGGAAGCAGCCTTGTGCAGGGCCCGTACACCTCTGGCCACACGGGTTGCTCACCAAGCCGTTCCCTCTTGTCTCAGCTGGCTGGGGCCAGCATGTACCTTCCTAAGCCTCAGGTAAGACTGTGGGGAAGAAATGTCCTAAGCACAGTCATGGTCAGCTCCTCAGAAAGTGCAAATGTGCATGCTCTGGGTGTCTGGAGCTCTCTCAGCCTGCTGGTGGTTTCTGTAGGACACCTACCCCTACCTGCCCCTTGTGCACACAGCATGTCCCACCTGCTCCCAGGGGGAAGGAGACCCTCTGTCACTTCTGGCCCAGATCTCATCTTGGCAAGTCTATCCCAAAGAATTTTTTAGTCAACGCTGGTCTTCAGCTACGACACTGACTTTCCACCCTGTTGTCCCCTTTTCCATCCTTCATCCTTCACCAATTGATTTTGATTCACCAGAGGAAGGTGGGGATGGATGTGGAAAATTCAACTTCTCAGAAATAGGTGATAAGGATGCTCACATGGAAAGACTCATGTTGAGCACCCAGTCTTGTAAGCAAACCATCTGGGATCTTCTGGGGTGGTGATGCTTGCTGAGAAATCCTTCACTGAAGAGTTGGCAACTTTTACCATTGAGGATCCTCTCCAGCCTCTCTGTCCCCTCCCTGCTCTGTGTGCCACCGCTGTGTATTTAAACTGTGTATCCATGCACACAGCCCCCTTCCATCACACTGAATCTTATGATAAAGATCATTTCGTTTTGTCAATCTCAGCTGGAACTGTTCATGTGACCAAGCCAGTGAGCGGAGCAAGGTATTAAACTGCCCATGATGATGGGTAGAGGAGCATAGGCAGTGGCTGCACCTGTGGCTCCCTGGTCCCAGTCAGCTGAATTTCATTCCCTCCAGCCCCTCTGCACCCTCAGCCTGTCCCATCCTACCCAGCAATGGGATGTGCTTGCTGCAGCATGACGGCAGGCATCCTGTGTGTTTGAGGTCCCCCTTCTGGGGTCCTGCCCAGTGCATCAGGCAGCTGAGTATCCACCCAGCTGGGTCTCATGGGATAATGCTCAGGCCACAGAACAGCCACCGAAATCAGCTGCTGGTTTTTCCATGTGAAGTCTCCCAACCCAAGTGGAGATATCTACCAGGTATGAAGAATGGCAGCTGCAAAGCTCAAAGTCTTGTTCCAGCGAGATACACCCAGAGGTAAGCTGGCTGTGTGGAGCAGAGAAGAGCAGCATGGCACAACCCAGACTACAGTGCAAAGGGATCGTTAAGCAGCTTCCTGTGCCAGCACCTGGAGCTGGCAAGCGGCACTGAGCTGACTTATCAGTTGCATGGGAACACCCAAGTGATCCCTCTGGGTGTGTAGTCCAGCTGTTCCCAGTGCCCATCAAACAATCCTCAAAATGCTGCTTTTCCCAGTGCTGCTGAGATAAGCCAGTGCCCTCCCCTATAAAGGCAGCCATGAGCAGAGCAAGGTTCACAAGCGCATACATCTGAACCAACCATGGCCATGAGGGAGCTGGTGGTGGTGGCACTGGTGACTCTCGTTGCTGCGAGTGGTAAGCCTGATCTTCTGCTGGCAGCCAGCTCTTTGGTGGTGGGTTGGTAACCTCGGAGGGACGAAAAATGGGTGGGAGGGCAGAAAGACCCAGAAACTCTGGTTTGGAAAGAAGGGCAAGCAAACACAGTGGCAGCGTGGTGGGGAAGAAGGACTGGGGCAAACACACCGTGCCTTGTTAGCAGTTTGAGGCAAGGGTTACAGGCTGGTTCATCAACTGTGCTGCACTTGGGAGAGGGTTGGGTTAAGGGACAGACCACAGTGCGAACGGGAACCAAGATCTGGGAGGACAGCACATACACTGGGCTGGCAGCTACTGTCGTTCCTGCCTCCATGAAGAGCTGCAATTCTTTGTGCTCAGCATATTCATGTGGGAAGCAGCTGTTTGTAGGCTCTGGGAAACTGATGCTGCCTAGGTGCACATAGTGCTGGTCCTGCAGCAGCCTGTGTGTGAGCTGTCATGCTCCCAGGACATATGTGCACTGTGCAGGTGGGCTGTGAACTGTTGCTACTTCTCTGCCTGACTGCAAAAAAGGAACACACCGAGTGCAGCTCTCCCTGGGGGTGGCTGTGTCCAGCTGTGCAGCATCACCCAGCCTCAGCCATCTGAAGATACCCTGTGTCCCACGCAGCACTGTATGGGTTCACATTTCCTGGGATGTGTTGGATGCTCTGTGAAGCTCCTGGTCGAGACACTGGAAGAGAGGGCTGTCAGGAGAGGGATTAGGGGGTGGGAACAGGCATTCCCAGCTGGTTCAGCTGTGGATGGAGGCTGTGCACTGTGCTGCTGGGAGGGTGGGGCGTTGGCATGCAGCAAACTTATCCCCTCACGAAACCCACACAGCTTATCCGGGTCCTGACTGGGCCCTGCACAACCCTGCCTTCCCTTTGATTTGAATGTGACCCGCTGTCGATGCCATTGTCACAGGTCTCTGCTCTGTTTCAGGGGCAGAGCTGAACAAAGGGAATGGCCTGAGAAGGGTAAGAGGTCTTTGGTTTTCTTTGTTCACGGCTTGAAATGGGATTTAGTGCATGGCATGCCTGGGAAAAAGACTGCTCCCAGCAATCACCCCAGCCTTATGGGTACTGGTGCTCCACCATCAAACCCACATCAAAGCCCAGGTTGTGAGTCCCATCGAGGGATTCAGTGAGCTCTGCTCCCTGCTTTCCTGCTCTGTGTGCATGCCTTGCCCTGTGCGGGGCAGAGAGAACCAAGTTGCCAGCAGCACTTGCTCCTGCCCAGATGCTGTGGGAGAAAGAGATAGGTTCTGCTGGCACTGAAATGTGTGCTGTGGTTTCTTTGTTCCAGCCGGTGTGTGGAGACATGGTCAAGTTGCAGGCCTGCCCCCTCCTGTACTTGCCTGTCTGTGGGACCGATGGGAACACCTACGCCAATGAATGCCAGCTCTGTGTGCAGCAAATGTAAGCTCACGCCCTTGGCAGAGACCTCCAGGGGTCTAATTTTGGCCATCTGAAACTGGGCACTTGTGAAATACTGTCACTCAGGCTTCCCTGTGCCAAGAGAAAGCCATGGCAGGTGGGAAGCACACATGTTCCTGCTAGCAAAGTGGAAGAGGACTTTTTCATATCAGCTGAGCCAGGTGCTGGGCTGTGAAGCCTGAGTTTTACCCTCCCGCACCAGCAGTGCCCGTAGATAGGGACAGGTGTGTCTCTAGCCCTTGCCTGCAGGTTCCTTGCCCCATCCTTGGTACTGCGTTTTAATGACTACTGTGCAGCAGCAGGCTGAGCATTTTAGCTCATTGTGTTGGCAGGGGACTAATCCCACAGAAAACCTGAATATTCATTGATTGTATCAGCTTGCTAAATGAGAACACCCTGTGGCTGCATAATCAGCAGAACCAAAAGGTGAGGTCAGGAGTCCATGACCAGGAGACCCTCCAAAACGAGTGCCTGCAAGCTGGCAACAAACTAGACACTCCAGTACTCTACACCAGTAGAGGATAGGAGAAGGTGCCACCGTCTGTGCTGCCTGCAGCTAGAGAAAGAAGAGTTGAACTTAGATGGGCAAAAAGGTTGACTAGCCATCTAGTCTGGACAGTCAAACAGCATCACACAGTCCTTCAGAAGGACTTCTGTGAATGCAGATGCCCGGTTATGTGCCTCATGGCTCTTTTGGAAGAACTTCAAACCAAAGTTACCACCATAAACTTGAGGACTAGGGCAACAGGGACCTCACGAGAAGTGTGAGTTTCTTTGGGGCAGTGATTTTATCCAGGTGGGGAAGTGACTATTTGAGCAGGTGTTCCTGCTGGAAAGGGACCGAGGGTGAAGATCAGGCTGAACACAGGTCAGCAGTGCACTTGCATGGCAAATAACATGAACCGTGTGGTGGGTTACAGTGGGAGATGGATGACCAGCTTGTCAAAGGAAGCTGGAAGTGCAGAGGAGCTGCGTTCCACTAGCCTGGGGAAGGGGAGGCTTGAGGGGATCTAGCAGTAGCCTATGGTTGCAAATGGGATAGAGCCACACTCTTCCTAGTGGTAGCAGGTGATGCAACATGGGTCAACAGCCACAAACAACAGCTCCAGAGGGTACAGTTTGGACACCAGGGAAACACCTTCGCGAGGAGGGTGGTGCACCATGGAGGTAGGGGAGTTCTCTATCCTTAGAGGTGGTGGTTAGGGCTCAGACAGAGCCATGGCTACCATAACCTCACACTGGGAACACTCTTGCTGTGAGCAGGTTGGGCTGGGGGCCTACCACCAGTGCTGCACACCTGAGGAGGGGTTATTTGTGGGCCGGGATGGCTTGCAGTCACCTCAGCTTTTTAGATAGGAAAATGAGCAAGCCAATTTTATAATAGTCAGCTCCGTTCCACTGGCTGGATAGGAGCCAAAATATGACTCCAGAGTATTTTTTTGACCCTTTTTTCCTATGTTATTCTAGGAAAACCAGGCAAGACATCCATATTTTGACAGATGGGGAGTGTCAAGATATCTGAGCTTTCCAGTAGCTTTCCTGAGCCTAGAAACAGGTGATTATTTGATCCTGTGTTCTCTGTGCTGATTGCACATTTAGATCAGTGATGGTGAATAATAAAATGACATGCACAATCTTACTTCTAGAGCACTTTTTTATGCAAAGCTGAGGGAAAACAACTCAAGCCAGTTCCCATAAAGGGCTACTAAAAGCATACAGACAAAACATTAATTTCAAATCCACATAACAAACCAGGTCTCTGTACTGTATTATTTCACCCATGTTCCTGTGAGAAAAGCCATGTGGGAGTAGCAGGAAATGCAAAGATCCTGGTGAAGAAGTTGCTACTATGGTCACACAAGTAATTTGCAGGCATCTGGATGGGGATATGGGGTGTGTCATATGGTCAAGCGAGCTCCCTGAAGTCAGTGACCACCCTGTGAATCTGGGAGCTGTGCCAGTGTCATGGTTACTGTGCTTGGCCAGCTGGTTGTGTAATCCATCCCCACACACCTCTTCCAGTCCTGCACCTTCCTGGAACCACCAGGTGGGACACTGCAGCACCGTAATGCATGACAAAACTGTTGCTGATAGGTTTAATGCTGCAGCTGGAAATAGTATTGAGAAGCATAAACCAGCCATAGAATCATAGAATCATTTTGGTTGGAAAAGACCTTTAAGATCATCAGCTCCAACCATTAACCGAGCACTACCAAGCCCACCACTAAACCATGTCCCTAAGCACCACATCTATACATCTTTTGAACACCTCCAGGAATGGTGACTCCATCACCTCCCTGGGCAGCCCGTTCTAAAATCTAACAACTCTTTCAGTAAGGAAATTTTTCCTAATATCCAATCTAAATCTCCCCTGGTGCAGCTTGAGGCCATTATTTCTTGTCCTGTCATTAGTTGCTTGGGAGAAGGGACCTGCACCGGCCTCACTACAACTTGCTTTTAGGTAGTTGTAGATAGCAATAAGGTCTCCCCTCAGCCTCCTCTTCACTAGGCTAAACAACCCCAGTTCCCTCAGCTGCTCCTGATAACACTTGTTCTCCAGACCCCTCACCAGCTTTATTGCCCTTCTCTGGACACACTCCAGCACCTCAATGTCTTTCCTGTACTGTGGCGCCCAAAACTGAACACAGTACTCAAGGTGTGGTCTCAACAGTGCTGAGTACAGGGGCACAATCACTTGCCTACTCCTGCTTGCCACACTATTTCTGATACAGGCCAGGATGCTGTTGGCCTTGGCCATCTGGGCCATGCTTTGTCAGATGGGAGATCCACCATTTTCTGTCCCAGAAGAGGCTGCTGACATTAAAAGCTTTTCTCTCATTAAAAGTTCTATCCCAGGCTGAAAAGTCCTAGCCTGGCTAGTTGCTCAGAGTTGTCCAGAGCTTTGATCACCCCCATTTTTCTTTCCTGGACCCTTTCCACTGCTGCAGAGGAGCGGACACAGCTTGACTACCTGTCCATGGCTGCTGCTTTTACATCATCTGTTCATTTTTCCCAGTGCTCTGCAAGCCTATTGGCCCCCTTCCAGTCCTCAGGTAGTGAGGGAGAGGTGGTCTGGCTGCATGTCACTCTCTGCATTGCCAGTCCTTCTGTGCAGACCTTCAGAGGGTGTCCCCCCTGCACCGTAGGGAGAAGGTTTGTTGGCATTATCACCCGCAAAACACTTCCATGGTGAGCCACACAAATGCATTGCTCATCTCCTCCGTGGGTTTTTCTGCTCCTGCTGCTGCCAACCCAGCTGCAGGCAGGATGTATTTGGGTAGCTCTGGTCTCTGACAGGGCTGAGGGGAAGGTTATGCCCAGCATAACACGGTGCATAACTGGGACCCTCTGTACCCCCCACAGGGGTGCACCAGCATCTCAGCCCCATACAGTGGCTCGAGCCATGCAGGCAGAGTGGCTGCAGCCCGTGTCTGTGTATCCCCTGAAAGCCATGTCTATTTATTTGCAGAGGTGAGGAAAACCCAACACAGACAATTCGGCAGCTCTTCTGAAGCAGAAAGTCACACGCCTCAAGTACAACATTGAGTGTTTACTGAGAAACTGCAGAGCACACACTTGTGGGCCAGACTTGCAAGGTCAAAGCGTGGGCAGCCTCAGGCCAGGGTCAGCCTTGACTCTACACGCAGTGAATTCAGAGATAACCACCCTCCCAGGGAACTGGTAGATTTGCCTGTTTATTTCACATGGCTCAAGAGCAAGTAGCAAACCAAGGGGAGGTGAAGGGAATGATATAACACCACCATGGATCTCAGAGGCTGGTGCAGGATGGCTGGATCCAGCCTGGTGTGGAGAGATTGACTCTGAAACCTGGCAGATCTGTGTCTAGCAAGCTCAGGAGAGACTCAGGAGGCAGCTGGTGAACAGCAAGATGACTGCAATGCACTGGCAGGGGGTATGCACATGGATTTGCACATTTGCATACAGATTTGCCTGTTGACTTTATCCATCTGTTTCCCATCTTTTCATGCTTCAGTCAAGGCAGGGGGAGGAAGGGATTATCTGCTTTCACAGGCACCATAGCTCATTACACAGACCTACTAGTAGTCCTGCTCCCAGACAAGCGTGTTGCAACCAGGCAAGTTGCCCCCAAACCTGCCTCAAGCCAGGGAGTGAAGGGCAAGCCTGAAAATTGCTTCTCTGTCCTTAACATGTAAGACAAAACCTGAAGAAGTGCCCTAACACCCTGCTAGAATGATACTGCCATAGCTTCCCCAGCTGCCCATGTTGATCCCCTAGACAACCTTGGGTTCAGGGCTGCATCCGTGATGGCAGAGAGGGAAAGGCAGTTCTCTGGATATTGCCTTGAAGTAGCAATGCTAGATGGGGATAAACAGAGATACCACTGAGGCTCATAAAGAGCTTTGACTTATACATAGATCCAAAGGCTGCTGTGGTTGCGTCTGCAGTGACAGCAATCCCAATAGTGCCAGGAGACAGGCCTGGTGGCAGGATCTAGCCCTAGATTCAGCTGTCCCTTGGACAAAGCATTCCCAGGGCTTTTGGGCAGTGAAAGCCATGTGGGGGATTGGTGTGGCAAGATGTACCCAAAGTTGAGGGTGTTCCCTACCGAGCAGCTTCAGTAGCACTTGAGGAGTCTGTGACAACTGGAGCTGCTCAGGTTGCTGGACACCTGGTTGAGCTCCTCCACGTCCTCACCTAGGAAACTGGGTGCATCAGTGAGGGTGACTCAGAGGTAGCTGAACTGAAATGTGGAGAGAAAGGGGAGGGAAGCAGGGTCTGGCACATTGTAAAGTGTGCAGCTGCAACAATTCATGCAATCGAGACTAGCCAGAAAATTTAACCTACTTGCATAAATTCATCCATAGCAAAGGGTATGCAGATCTGCCACATCTGCTAGAGAGCTCTGCTGGAAAAGAAGAGTCTCTGCTGTGTTGCTGGTGGGGGACAGGGAAGCACCATTGCTCTCTAGAATGAGCCCAGTGACCCTGGCATTGTGGGCGAGTCTCTGCCTCTCAGTCCCTCCACTTCAGGCAGACACAACTCCAAATTAGGTGGTGGAGTCTGAAATTTCCACACTGTTATCCACCACCAAAGCCTTCCCATGGGATAATAAAATCAATTTCTTGGGAATCTCTACGGATTCCCTTCTACAGAGGTGCTTCCATTAAGCACCTCAAAAGACTACAAGGGCACAACAAGTCTTTCATTTACAAAAATTCTTTAGAAATCATAACAATAAAAAGGTTTGGGTTGGAAGGGACATTAAAGATCATATAGTTCCAGCCCACTGCCATGGGCAGGGACACCTTCTGCTAGACCACGTTGCTCAAAGCCCCATCCAGCCCGGCCTTGAACACTGCCAGGCAGGGGACAGCCACAGCTTCTCTAGGCAACAAGTTCCAGTGTCTCACCACCCTTACAGTAAAGAACTTCTTCCTAATATCTAATCTAAATCTACCCTCTTTCAGTTTGCAGCCATTACCCCTCACCCTATCACTGCACTGCCTGACAAAGAGTCCCTCCCCACCTTTCCCATAGGCCCCCTTTAAGTACTGGAAGGCTGCTATAGGGTCTATCTGGAGCCTTCTCTTCTCCAGGCTGAAGAACCCCAACTCTCTCAGCCTGTCCTCATAGGGGGTGTGCTCCAGCCCCCTGATCATCTTTGTGGCCTTCCTCTGTACCTGCTTGAGTGGGTCCATGTCTTTCGTATGCTGTGGGCCCCAGAGGTGGACGCAGCACTGCAGGTGGGGTCTCAACAGAGAGGAGTAGAGGGGGAGAATCACCTCCCTCGACCTGCTGGCCATGCTGCTTTCGATGCAGCCCAGCACGTGCTATTGGTTTCTTCACAGCTAGAAGATGAAACATTCACAGCACCATCTCTGCGGTGTCATATGGCATTGTTTTGCTGAGTCAAGAGTCATTTATCAGACTTTACCAGGCTTTGGAGTGACTGAGTAGATGGGGGGTGTGAGAAGCTGAGTTAGCCACAGCCTGAGCGTGCACCCAGTTCCCATGGAGCACTGAAACACACAGGGATTTCTACCCTTAGTCCCATGTATCTTATCACCTACAAGCAGCCAGAATATGTCAAGCGTTTTGTACAAGTGCTTCCAGATGTGATGTCCCACTATGTCCAGGCATATAGAATCATAAAATAGAATCATTTAGGTTGGCAAAGATGCTTAAGATCATCAAGTCCAACCGTTAACCTAACATTGACAAGTCCACCACTAAACCATGTCCCTAAGCACCATGTCTACATGTCTTCTAAATACCGCCAGGGATGGTGACTCAACCACTTCCCTGTGCAGTCTGCTCCAGTGCTTGATAACCCTTTCAGTGAAGAAATTTTTCCTAATGTCCAATCTAAACCTCCCCTGGCGCAACTTGAGGCCATTTCCTCTTGTCCTATCGCTTGTTACTTGGGAGAAGAAACCAACATCCACCTCTCTACAACATCCTTTTAGGTAGTTGCAGAGAGCAATAAGGTCTCCCCTCAGCCTCCTTTTCTCCAGGCTAAACAACCCCAGTTCCCTCAGA